GCCTCTGATGTAGTCAAGGTTTCTCTCATTTCATGGCAGTATTCCAAGATGATAAAAACAATCTGCCTGAGGGCTGGCGCTGTAGTGTCATGGGTAAAACCACTGCCTGCAGTGCCAGCATCCCATATGGGTGCCGGTTCGATGTCCCACTTCCGAGCCAGCTCTCTGCTGTGGCCTGGGAAAGCAGTAGAAGATGGCTCAAGTGTTTGGCCCCTGCACCCACATGGGAGACCGGAAGAAACTTCTGGCTCCTGGCTTTGGATTGGCTCAGCTCCAGCCATTGTGGCCAACTGGGGAGGAGTGAACCAGCAGATGGAAGACCTCTCTCTCTCTGCCTCTCGTTCTCTTTCTTTGTAACTGACTTTCAAGTAAATAAATAATCTTTAAAAAAAATCTGCCTGAAAAGACTTTTCTCCTACGTTGGCTACTGGCAGGCAAATGATCTGTCTGATGGCAGCAAACAGCAGTAGCCTGTGGACATGGATAGCATTAGCCCACAAATGCTTCATTTAGGCAGGTTTGTGCTTTTCTAGTTCCTTAACACGTGCCTTGTTTGCATACCAGGTAACTTACGAGCCTGTTAGTAGTTCCTCCATATTTGACTTCTGAAAATGGGTTTATTTAACTTCAAACATCCCTGTTAGCTTAGTCAACACCACAGATATTTTTCTAAGAATGAACTCAGGAAACTTTGCCAGTCATTTAGTCAAACTGACAAATATCTATTGACCTCAGGGTTAGTTCTCTTCTTGTGGCTCTCTTAGACATTCTTTAAATATTGTGGAGTGGTTTTACTGAATTCCCCCTGAAAGAATTTTTTTGTGTGACTTAGGAATATATAAACAATATGTTGGTCAAAGAATCTGCTTAAGCATTTCTACTGTGTGGAATTAAAATATTTCCTGATGATCATGAAAGCAGACAGTACTGGTTTGCACTTTGTTGTGAGAAAAAGAAAACACCAAAAAACTTCTCTTGGTACCACAGAGCTTTTTGAATATTCAACTAGATAATTTTTGCAGGCATCAGTGACTATTTTTTCTTGCTCCTTTGTTACCTCTGCTTTGATCGCATGATATTCTCTAAATATTTGAACCATGTGGTTATGCTGTCAGATATCCAGGAACTATAAAAAATATAAGAAAATAAGATAAATAATTTAGATCTTTACTATCCAGATAATCACCATCAAATTTCCTTCCAGTCTATTTCTCTGCAAATACACATACAGACACATACGTGTGCCCACAAACAAAAATGGTATAGTAGAATTCTGTACAAGAAACAGAAAGGACACCTAGTCTGGATTATGAAGATAAGTGAAGTGAATATTTGTAGGTATAAAGACAGTAACAAGGGGTGTTGGGGTACCTGGAGACTAGCAACCATGGGTAGGGTGCAGAAAAAGTGTTCCAGGAACTCCAGGAGAGCTGAAGTTGAAGAACTGGCCATCTGTGGTTGTGATTATAGAGGGTGTGGGCAAAGGAGCAGCTAGCCCTTCCCCACTTCTGCATGAGAATTTGACCTATAGTTAATTTCTTACCTCTGTTTCCCTGGCAATTTGATAAAAGTTGGAATGCCAACTTTGCTTATGTTAAAAATGACCCCTGGATTGGGAGAATTATGAAGATCTGATGGGGAAGCTGTATTTTGGCTTTCCTAAATGCAGGGATTTTTGTGGCTGATCATGTCACTTGCTGGGTCCCTGGGCTGTCTGTCTGTGGAGTTATTTCAGAGATGATGGATCTTATGGGAGATGAGGATTTTTAATGTGAAGTGACTTCCTTGCCCCTTGTACCTGTGTACATATGAATGATAACTCCAGTCGAAAAGGGGTGCCTACTACTGCCGTGCTGTGTTTCTTGTCCTGTATCTTTCCAAATAGAATGGTTGTTAACTTTTGGTAGCTTTTTATTGTGAATATTCAGTTGACTCTAAGAAAAATCTGCCCGGATTGTGATGCCAAAGCAAGGCTGGGAAAGGGAAAATACCCCAAGCTGTCCCTCTGTCTTTACTCCAGTGTCCTAACACCCTTTTCCCATATTGACTGAACTTAAGCAGGGAAGAGAGGTCAAGGAGAAAGCCTGGTCTTCTCGGCCTGTGTCAGGTGTTCCCCACAGTTACCAATCTCCTGTTGATGGCCACATGGGCTGTTTTCAGTTTTTGGTTTGACAATATGGGCTTGAGTCATATATTTTAGTTTCCCTTGATAAATTCACAGGAGTGAGATTTCTGGGTCATAGTTTAGACAAATATTTAAATTTTTAAGAAAATGCCAATTTTTCAAAGTGGCTATACCATTTTATACTCTCATTAGCTGTTTAAGAGAGTTCTGTTTGTGTCACACTTGTCCAATATTTGGTGTTAATAGAGTTTTTTATTGGACCATTATTTTTTTTTTCTTTTTTAACAGGCAGAGTTAGACAGTGAGAGAGAGAGAGACAGAGAGAAAGGTCTTCCTTCCATTGGTTCACCCCGCAATTGGCTGCCACGGCGCACTGCGCTGATCCGAAGCCAGGAGTCACCAGGAGTGCTTCCTCCTGGTCTCCCATGCAGGTGCAGGGCCCAAACACCTGGGCCATCCTCCACTGCCTTCCCGGGCCACAGCAGAGAGCTGGACTGGAAGAGGAGCAACTGGGACTAGAACCCCGGGGTGCCAGCACCGCAGGCAGAGGATTAGCCTAGTAAGCCGTGGTGCTGGCTGTATTGGGCCATTCTAGTATATAGTATGTAGAGATAACTCATTTTGGCTTTAATGTACATTGTACATTTCCCCTATGACTAATGCTGTTGACAACTTTCTCACATCCTTATGTGTCATTCATGTATCTCTTTGATGAAGTATCTGTTCATGTCTTTGTGAAATCCAACCCTTTTTGATTATTTTCTGTTTTATTATTTTTATTATTGGGATTGCAAGAGTTCCTTTTATACATGTCTTTGGTCATAGTTGTGTATTATGAACATTTTCTCTCATATTATGGTTTGTCTATTTTCTAAATGACAGTTTTGGAAAATAAAATTTAAAAAATAGTTATAAAGCAACTTATAATTTTTTATTTCTCTGTCTTCTCTGTGTTTACCTTAGATTTTTAAAAAGCAATAGTTGCAAATTATTAAAATAGTTATGTCTTCTTGATTTAAAAGTGATTTTGATTTAAAAATGAAATCCTAGATAGGTGTTTTCAGAACATGAGTCTCTCTTTTTAGATGTATCTTCATAAAAATTCATAAAAGAGACCTAAATACTATCTTGTTCAAACTCCTTCTTAATATTAGGTTTCCATCTTAAAAAATTTCACATAATAATTGAGCTTCTGGATTCTTCTACAGATTGAAATATTCTAGAAGTAAAACAAAACATAAAAGAATTTCTTCTTTAAATTAATGTACTCTCTTGGTAGTTTCCTCATTAGGATTTTGCATAATATGAATTTCACTGAAATACATTATTCATTTGATCAAACAGTAGTTGTGCTCAAGGTTCTTGGAACCAAAAATAATGTGTGTTGGCCCATGCTGAGTCTTCTTTGGGATTATGGTTTGTGTTGGGGTATAGAATAGTGTCAGTCATGTCACTGTTTAGTTGTATAGTAAAGTAACATATGGCATGTCTGGGAGAATAATTTGTCCTTTCTTCTGTGTTAGGGAGTATTTTTTAGAGGACATATGCTTGAGTGAGGCTCAAAAAATGGGTAGGAGTCACTCTAAGAAGTTGGAGGATAGAGGCATGAGTTGTGGACAACCAGCAGATGTAAATGTTGCTGGGGTTTTGAGTCTGAGACCCAAGCAATTGTAGATGAGACTGAGAGAGAGGCAAGGCCTTGGCCATGAGAGCTTTTCACGTTGTTCTGTGGCTTCTCTGCAAAGGATGAAGAGAGTGACTGGTGGCATCAAAATGTGTTAGAACGCTCAAGCTGTAATTTGAGTCAGTAGTTTTCAGATTGTCAAGTGCTTGTAATTCAGGTGGCCAGTCCTTAGCTTTTACCCTGTGGATCAGGTCTGGGGTCAGAATCTCCAGGGCAGAGCTGTGGCTAGAAGTTTATTCCCCACAGGCCCTGTAGGTGGTTCTGAAGCATGCTGCAGTTTAAAATTACTGTGAATAATGAGGAGGTCTGAACTAAGGCAGTGAGAAAGAAGTGCCTTGGTAAGAAGGATGTTAGAAACTAAGATGGTGAGTATTCTTGATGGCTGACAGTATAGGAGGAATGAGGAAATAGGAGAATCCTGGCCTGAGCAACTTCTCAGATGTCATTCATGCCAAGTACTTAGATGGCATTGCAGAGCAGGAAAAGAGAGAGGGAGTTTACGTTCAGATATAAGATTGAGTTGCTATCAGGAAATATCAATTTTTATCACATAGAAATAACATTAACTTTGGGAAAATAATGATTCTGTCAGTACAAATAATGCTGGGAACAATGAAGCACTTTCATTATGTAATGGTTATTCTTTTCAAAGGACGTATTCAGCTCCTGTCAGATACTAAGATTTGTTTCATGCTTTGGTGACTTTTTAATCTCCATCTTATCATTATTATCATTTTACTGATGATGAAACTGAAGCGCAGAGATTTCCAAAAGATCATTTTTTGTGAGGAGCCAGGTGGAAATAATATTTAAAACATTGCTAAGCTCAATTTTCTTCCAATTATTACACAGCTGCTTCTGATAACATGGATGAGCAGGGTTTTTTGTATTATTTATATGATGGCTCATGAACTTGAAGTCCCAAGAAACTGATTTTCCCAGGATCCCAAGCTGATAAGTATCGTATCAGAGACCAGAACCTGGGTCCCTATTTCCTGGCTACCACTTTTTTTCCACTCTAGCTTACTGCGATCCAGATGATTGCAGATATTGATTTTGTTTCCTGATTTGTTTTAAACTAATTTGAAGGGAAGACACACTGCTAAAGAAGTCAAGGCTCGGTCGCTTTGGATTGGTGTGTGGCAGGAGCTCATTTCTTGCCTGTGAATGATTTTTTTTTTTTTTAATTAGGAACCTGGCCTTGATGAGGAAAGAAATAAGGAAATAACTCCAGGAGAAAAGGTCCTCCGGAACACCAAAGAGGAGCGGGACCAGCAAAATCGACTGAAAGAGATAAATGAAAAGCTGAGAAAGATGAAAGAAGATGTGGTAAGTCATTTTTATTTAAATCTTAATTGTAACCAATGATTGTAATAAGATTTCAGTCCTTTGTTTTAGGATTGCTCTTAATTATTAAATCAGACATGGCAGTTTGTAAGAATTTGAATAAAAGCGAAAAAATGATTTAAAGAACTTAAAGTAATAGTATATGTAATTTATACAACATAATAAACTTGAAGGATACTATCTGAAATCAGGATAATGATTCATAATCCTAATAGGCTCTGCTTGACAGTGATACAAATGTTCTTTGTGTAAAACTTTGGTAGTTCTCCATAAAACTATCCATATCTATCTATCTAATAAGTAATTTATTACTTAAATACCCACTGCTTTTGTTCAGAATTGCAAATATATTGTTATTAATCATTAGTTTAAAACATACTGAATCCTTCTTGACCTACTTGGTATTTTTCTTGTTCACTATTTAAAGATATATCATCACTGGCCGGCGCTGTGGCTCACTTGGCTAATCCTCCCCCTGCGGCACTGGCACCTCAGGTTCTAGTCCCGGTTGGGGTACCGGATTCTGTCCCGGTTGCTCCTCTTCCAGGCCAGCTCTCTGCTGTGACCCGGGAGTGCAGTGGAGGATGGCCCAGGTGTTTGGGCCCTGCACCTGCATGGGAGACCAGGAGGAAGCACTCCTGGTGACTCCTGGCTTCGGATCAGCGCAGTGTGTCGGCCGTGGCAGGCATTTAAGGGGTGAACCAATGGAAGGAAGACCTTCCTCTCTCTCTCTCTCTCTCTCTCTCTCTCACTGTCTAACTCTGCCTGTCAAAAAAAAAAAAAAAAAAGATATATCATCACTGTTGAGAGAAGGCTCTTAAATCAACCATATTATGAACTGGTTGATATTATGAGCCTATTTAAAATTGTCTATAAAATTATGATTTTGCAGCTGGATACTTGGATTTTACCTTAAACATGACAAAGCTGAACTTGGGATTCTTATATCCTCTCTTCCATGCTGTCCTTGATATGATTACCGGCTGTACTCACTTTCTGTCTCCTACTAAATCCTGTCATCTTGGGTGATCTTCAAGTTGCATCCAAGTTTTAGCCAATATGGCTATTTTGTTGACATATCTTGCTACAGGTTCCTATGATTTTTTTTTTAAATTAGACAGGCAGAGTTAGACAGTGAGAGAGAGAGACAGAGAGAAAGGTCTTCTTTCTGTTGGTTCACCCCCCAAATAGCCACCACTGCCAGAGCTACACCTATCTGAAGCCAGGAGCCAGGAGCTTCCTCCTGGTCTCCCTTGCAGGTGCAGGGGTCCAAGCACTTGGGCCATCCTCCACTGCCTTCCCGGGTCACAGCAGAGAGCTGGCCTGGAAGAGGAGCAACCAGGACTAGAACCCAGCACCTATATGGGATGCCAGCGCCCCAGGGGGAGGATTAACCAAGTGAACCACGGCGCTGGCCCCTGGTCCCTACTTTTATTATCCTTCTCTTGGCATTGTCACCTCATGACCAGCCTGTTATAACCTGATTGTTGTGGGAATTCTGTTGCAATCATTGTGTTATCTTATTATTCAGTTCTATATGCTGACCCGTGTGGGTAAGCATCAGGTAAGTGATTTTAATTAATGTATGATCCCAAAAGTGTGTGTCAGTCCTGACTGTGAGTCTGCATATTTAATGAGCTGCTTTTACTATTCCCTGGTGATGGATCTCAGCATTGACTCAGCACCTAACGTGAGTTAGGTGGGAGATCTAAAGGGCGTAAGTATCTCATGCTTCTCATTATGGTTCATTTTTGTTTGCTTTTCATGGGACTTGTCCATGAGAATTACATTTCAGGAGACCATCATTCCATTTTCTGAGGGACTTCCTCCCCCTTGAGTTTGTTGACATGGTAAAGGAGTAGAAGAAGTAGGAATGGTTAGGAAACATAAAGGGATTCTTGGACAGTGGTTGTGGTGGTAGTGATGGGACATTTCAAACTTGATGTGGTAAATAAAATATTTGTGGTTTGATTGGTTTTGAAAACTGTTGGTACTTTGGGTAATCCTACACCTGCCAATGTAAGACAGGGAATACCTGTCGTTCAAAATTTATTCTCCTGACTTCTGACTGCTATCATCTGGATATTTGTGTCATCTTAAAATTTGTGTTGAAATCCTAACCCCCGGCCGGCGCCGCGGCTCACTAGGCTAATCCTCCGCCTAGCGGCGACGGCACACCGTGTTCTAGTCCCGGTTGGGGCGCCGGATTCTGTCCCGGTTGCCCCTCTTCCAGGCCAGCTCTCTGCTGTGGCCAGGGAGTGCAGTGGAGGATGGCCCAAGTGCTTGGGCCCTGCACCCCATGGGAGACCAGGAGAAGCACCTGGCTCCTGGCTCCTGCCATCGGATCAGCGCGGTGCGGCCGGCCGCGGCGGCCATTGAAGGGTGAACCAACGGCAAAAAGGAAGACCTTTCTCTCTGTCTCTCTCTCTCACTGTCCACTCTGCCTGTAAAAAAAAAAAAAAAAGAAAAAAAAAAAAAAAAGAAATCCTAACCCCCATGATGATATTAGGAGGTAGGGCCATTCTGGGAGATGATTAGGTCATGAAGGCAGAGCCCTCATGAATGGGAATGGTGATCTGATAAAATAGGTCCAAGGGAATTCATTCCTGCTTTCACCATGTGAAGGCTCAGTGAGTAAGGCACCATCTATCAGGAAACTACACTCCTCAGAAACTGAATATACCAGCACCATGTTCTTGGATTTCCCAGCTTCCAGAAGTGTGAGGAATAAATTTCTGTTACTTTTAAGTCACCCAGTTTAAAGTGTTTTGTTATAGGTGCCAAAAAAGGGGGAAGACATGCCTTATTTATTGCATACATTGAACATGGGTCCGTTTTCTTCTACTATGTTTTCATTATTTCATTTTTGGCTCAAAATCTGGGTGCTATAAGAATTATTATATATCATTCCAGTGCCATGTGGTATTTAGCTACTTTTAAAGGAATTTGATAAATATCAGAAGTTGGTCATTACCTAAGTGGAACAAATACTACATAAGAGGAGAACAGCAATTACTGAGTACCAATGCTGAGCCAAATATTGTTCCAAGTACTTCACAAATATGAAATTATCTAATGTTTACAAATGCTCTATGAGGTAAATTCTACTATCGTTATTTCATAGATGAGGCAATGGAGGCCAAGGGAGGTTGCAAAACTTCCTCGAGGTTATACAGCTTGTAAGTGAAGGAAGCTGGATGGATTTGGTTAGCTATTACTAACTATGCTGTAGGCCTGTTCTGGTACTTATTTTTCTTTTCATGATTAATCTTGCTTTTTATAAATTCTAGTGTGATAAGTTTTAAGAGCAAAATTTTTGAGCTCTGTCATGTAAAGTTTAATTACATAGTTTTGTGTTTTATAGTCAACACATTCAGAGGCTTTCTGAACAGTAAAGGCATACCAGAGTGGATCTATATTGTTTTTATGCTTTGACTGCTTGGTGTTTCATAATATTCCTGTGGATTGATATTTGTACCATGTAACCTTTTAAGGGAAGATACTGCATCTATTTCTTTTTTTATTTAAAAATTTATTTATTTTACTTGAAAGTAACAGTTACACAGAGGAGAGGCAGAGAAGAGGAGAGGAGAGGAGAGGAGAGGAGAGGAGAGGAGAGGAGAGGAGAGGAGAGGAGAGGAGAGAGAGAGGAGAGAGAGAGAAAGTCTTCCATCGCTGGTTCACTCCCCAGATGGCTGCAATGGCCAGAGCTATGCCAATTAGGAGCCAGGAGCCTCCTCTGGGTCTCCCACATGGGTGCAAGGGCCCAAAGACTTGGGCCATCCTCTACTGCTTTGCCAGGCCATAGCAGAGAGCTGGATCGGAAGTGGAGTGGCCGGGTCTCGAACCGGCGCCCATATGGGATGCCCGCACTGCAAGTGGCAGCTTTACCCTCTAACGCCACAGCACTGGCCCCAATGCTACATCTATTTCAAACTCTGTAAAGTTTCTGTACCTCATTGCTATCTTGGTACTTTTTTGGATTGAGGATTAATAGACATAAGTCCTTGTTTCAGTTTTATTAGGAGCCTGCTCTGTGACTGTAAATAATTTATTATCTTATAGAATGAATTTCATTACTTTGAAATCAAGAGAATAGTGCTAGATGATGTCCTTTTCCCTGTGATTCTTGGCACACTTGGTTTTGGTTCAAAGTAAGGTTATTTATAATATATGGTATCTAAAGCTCAGTTTGTGTGCCTTCTAAATATGTGGCATTAACTGCCTTAAATCTACTATTGAAATTAGGAGTCCTAGTAACTGTTTTTAAGGGAAAGTCATTTAGTTATTATCTTAGAATTGTATTTATAAATACATGAAATACATTCTCTTTATGTAATACATGTATAAATGCATGGAATCCATTCTCTTTATAATAGTAAAGATTTTAAAACTTTAGCTTACTGTCTCCCAACTAGAGAATATGTTTTCTGAATGATAACTTCTAGAAGTGGCTAATCTTGAAGTTTTGTCTTATTCTCCTTCCTGTAGCAGAATATCATTTAAAGATCACTAGTTTGGGTAAAAGAGTTAATCTGTAGCCATTGAATTGGTGATTTAAGGATCAAATCTATATCTAGTCTTAGGGGTAGAAGGGGGAAGGAGGAAGCTAAAGGGTAATATAGAAGTTCTGGGGGCTATGCCTGGAAACACCTGAATATCAAGATTTTTTTTAAAAAAGATGTATTTATTTATTTGAAAGGCAGAGTTACAGAGAGGCAGAGGCAGAGAGAGAAAGAGAGAGAGAGAGAGAGAGAGAGAGAGAGAGAGAGAGAGAAATGTCTTCCATCCACTGGTTCACTCCCCAAATGGCTGCAATGGCTGGAGGTGGGCCGATCTGAAGCCAGGAGCCGGGAGCTTCTTCCATGTGGGTGCAGGGGCCCAGGGACTTGGGTCATTTTCCACTGCTTTCCCAAACCATAGCAGAGAGCTGCATTGGAAGTGGAGCAGCTGGGACTAGAACTGACACCCATATGGGATGC